TGCTGTGAGCTAGGCTGACGCCATGGCACTCGAGCCCAGGCAACAGAGTGAGACTCTGTGTCAATCAAGCAATCAGTCAATCAATCAATAATTCTTGTTTCTCCCTGAGTATATGCACTCTGTGGCTGCCCAAATGTTTCCAGATAATTATTATAATTTTTCTTTTTCTCTTAGGAGCTCAAGTCACAGCAACTGATTTGCCTGATGTCTTAGGAAACCTTCAATACAATCTTCTAAAAAACACACTAAAATGTACAGCACATCTGCCTGAAGTGAAAGAACTGGTATGGGGGGAAGACCTGGAACAAAACTTCCCCAAGTCAACTTTTTATTATGATTATGTTCTGGCCTCGGATGTGGTCTACCACCATTACTTCCTGGACAAGCTGCTCACCACCATGGTGTACTTTTCCCAGCCAGGAACTGTGCTGCTTTGGGCAAACAAGTTCAGATTCAGCACAGATTATGAATTTTTAGATAAATTCAATCAAGTTTTTGATACAACACTCTTGGCTGAATATCCGGAGTCATCTATTAAACTTTTTAAGGGGATATTAAAATGGGGTTAAATCAAAGAAAATGCCGTTCAAAATATTTGTGTCTTTTGAGCTGGTAGAAAGAAACTGAATTAGCAATTAATGACTTCTTTTATAAGATTGAGACAGTAGTGCATACGAAATGCCTTGTATACCTAGAACAAATGTAACTTAATAGTGCAGATATTTTCTAAAATAAGATTATTTGGTTAATCTAAATATCTACAAGGGATAACGTGAAAACACAAAAGCAGCTTTGCTGACATCCAAAAGTCTCCAATTACATGTTTAATAAATTTTACATGAATAAATTAATAAACAAGTGAGTTTCCTCCTTGTTATTTCTGTTGCAGAACACAGTTTTAAACTTGTCAATATAGTTTTGTCACATGATTTTTGAAACTGGGCTCGACAGGGTCACTATAGCTTAGTTTGAAGAATCCACTTATATAGATTTTTAACTGTAGCAAAAGGAGAGGCTATTGAGTAACAGAAAATAGTTAAGAGGTTTAACACCAATTAAAAGTCAAAAAACTGGCCGGGCGCAGTGGCTCACACCTGTAATCCTAGCTCTCTGGGAGGCCGAGGCAGGCGGATTGTTTGAGCTCAGGAGTTCGAAACCAGCCTGAGCAAGAG